AAGTTGTCCCAAGATAGCAAATCATTAACTTAAGAATGTAGAAAATGTTTTAAAACATCACATAAAATTACATTAAAATGAAACATTAACTATTTCACAAAGTATATTAAGTCCTGTATAAATTTAATATGGTGCTATTTATTAAAAAAAAAAAAAAAAAACACGATGCTATTGTAAGAGAGAAGCCTTCATTTCCCAGTAATGAGGGGAGGGAAGAGAATGACAATATATGACTTCAAAAGTTCCTACTCTAAAAATATATTTATTTTCCTTCTACAATATAAGAATATAACACTCACCCTCCTACCCACCACCAGAAAGATCTAAAGTTACATTCAGAATTGGGATAATTTAATAGCTGTAAAAACATGGTAATTATTTAGAAACCCAATAGAAGTGGTACCAATAAAATTCCCTCATTCTTGCAGATCTCCTTGTTCCAGCTGCACTAGCTCCTCATTTGATGACAGGGTTCTCTTAGTCTCAAACATCTCAACCACACTGGTCTCTAGGATGTATTCATGGCCAAGACCATTTTGCAAAGCTCATGCTTTATTCAGCCTCTAGGACAGTTTTGATTTGGAGGGAACTGTAATTTCTGTGATCACTTGCCAGACAGATCCTCCAGCGTTCTTTGGTAGTGAATGGACCCTCTGTCAGGACCAGGCACTGGTCCAGGCCGTTCCTGATACAGCAGACTAACTGCAGTTTTATCTGCTTCATCCCCTCATCCGGGGAGTCGATGAGAACATCTACACAGGCATCAAGCCTTAAAAGTGGCATTCACACCTCGATTTACTGGCTGTGAAATATTTCTCCCTCGGAGGATCAGACAAATCACCTGAATTTACAGGCTGGCCAAGACAGTACTATCTGGGGTACAGCACTTTTGAACAGAAAGACAGACAATGTAAGTGAGCCATCGCTGAGAACTGCTCATCCCTGTCCAGGCTTCCTGTTAGATCACTAAATCCCTCTCAGGTTAGCTGAGGAGCTGGGATTTCCAAGTAGATCAATAAACACCTCACTTTTAAGATCATCTTCAGTAAGCCCTCAAGTGATATTTGGCTGCTTTAACCTGGGGTACTATTTTCTCCCACAGAAATAAAAGTCTGGCATTCAGGCATTCCTTTCCAGTCAAACTCCAACTTATCAACCGAAGGGTTTGTTTCAATAAGGAAAGCCAACATGTTAGGAGACTAGCAAGAGCTGTTTGTGTCAGAACTGCCATCTTCCTTGGTCATCTTAATGCTCTGCCAACTATCCCTCTCCCAGAATCTCACAAATCCTTGTTGGCTACCCACTAAAGTTTCCATTTTAAAACCATGAGTTCTTCAAAACATGAGTCCTCAATGGTAGCTTCTAAAAAAATCATGGTGCTCCTTGCTAAACTACTTCTGATCCTATGCCCATATATACTGAACAGGTGCCCATCAAAATTTTTTTTTATTGTAAATCAATTTGCTAGCACTTAAAAGTCTAAGTGCTTGACAATCATTAAACAAATATTTTCTCAATTTTGTGTAACAGAATGTAAATGGAATGACTCCAAGTACTTTTGCCACTAAGCCAAGTCTTAATCTTTGTCAAATTGCCCTAACACTTCAGATTTTACATGTAACTAATTGATAAACAGTTTCCTTTTCCTTTGGCATCTCTCACTGTTTGGCTTCTTTCCACAGATCTTTAGCACAGGTTTGAAACTGGTGTGAACATACGCTCCTGGCAAGTGGATTTTTAGAACTTTAAAAGGAAGAAGAAAGGCTTAACATTTTTGTATTCTTTTAGTTTTTCTTTCTGCCTTATTTTGTTTGGTTTTTTGTCTACACAGCAAAACAGAAGGCACAACAAGTGTTGTGTGTGGGTTTTTTTGTTTGTTTGTTTTTTTAGAAAAGGCAAGAACAAAGAAAGTAAAATAGAACCTGAGGGAAGCAGGAATAAACTTTTAAAAAGTAGGGAAGATAAACTTTCACAGGTATAAGTTAACTCAAGGAGTAAAATTCCAGGATAAAGGAAGATGGCCACATGTATGTTTCAAATATCCCCATAGCTGCAGAAAATTCAAATCATTCTGAAGATACTCTGTTGATACTATGGTAACTTAGGTTCTTTGCCCATTATAGCAGCTCGCCTACATGAGCAGGAGGCTCAAAGCTAAGAGCTCAACATCTTTTTGAAGGCCCAAAGGAGAAATAGACTCAAGTACACAGGGGAGACTGGTGGTTGCTGGGGAGGTGGGTAGGGAGACTGAGAGAAAGAGATGAAGGGATTAAGAAGTACAAATTGGCAATTACAAAACAGTCACAGGGATGGAAAGTACAGCATCTATACTAGTAAAAGGGTAATATGCTAATTAGGGTGGACATCTTCCTGCCGACCTTCCAGATGTTGTTCTGGACAAAGCTGCAGCAGCTGCAAAGGGCCCAGGCTCAGGACAGCAGTGGCAGCATCATAAGCCAAGTAATGTGGGCGGCACCTTCTCCTGATCTGCCTGGTCGCCTCCCGTGGAGGGAGGCTAGACTTTGGCTTAGGTCATGGTAGAGGCAGTTAAGGTCCATCTGGCCAGCAGGGGGGCAAGGTACAGGCAATCAGGATGGCAGGCAGAGGGGTTAGAGGCAATCAGGCAGGCAGGCAGAGGGGTTAGGAGTCAGCGGTCCTGGATTGTGAGAGGGATGTCCTAGATTGGAGAAGGTGCAGGCCAGGTTAAGGAATCCCCCTCTTTAGCCCCAATCCGTGCACGAATTTCATGCACCAGGCCTCTAATAGGGAATATAGTCAATAATATTGTGATACCTATGTTTGGTGGAGGTTGAATACTGGAAATATCAGGGAACCATTTTTGCAATGTGTATGATTATCTAACTACTATGCTGTATACCTGAACCCAATACTAAGCAATATTGGAAGTAAACTGCAATTGTAAAATAACTATAATAATTTTTAAAAATGCATCATGTGCAAAGAGAGGAATTATTTGGAATGACAAACCCATTTCAAACTAAATCATTTTAAAACATTGAAAACACTACCAGAAATATAAAAATAAGTACCAAGACAAAGGAGACTCCTAAGTTTTGGAAATGAGTCACACAGATGTATGCTACACACAGCAAAGACAGAGATATCATTGCTTCCCAAATCCATTTCCAAGAGATTTAAATGAGCAAGATTACCCCATCACGCCATATACCTAGATTGCGGTTTGATTTCCGGTCTTGGCTCATATGGGAGGCAACTGATCAATGTTTATCTCTCTCTTTCCCTTTCTCTCTAAACAAAAAAATCAATAAAAACATATCTTTGGGTGAGAATTAAAAAAAAAAAAAGGAGAGAGTGCTATATTGGCTGCTTTAAACTGATTGTTAACTTAATGTGCTAAAATAAATGTTCATATATGAAATATGTGGCAAATCCAACAGACATCTGTAGAAACAAAAGCTAGTCAAGCTAGTCAGTCCTTTTCATGTACCGTATATATCTAATACAAAATATTTATGTGTGCTGAAAACATTGTACATTGACGTATTTCATGTGTATGTATGTACCTGTACCACAAACCTCTGTAAGATTTGTTCAGCCCTTCAGGTAAGTTTTAATCTCATGTCCCAGGTTCTCAAAAAGTAGAAACTGTGCTGGTCTCCAAGAGTAAGTAGCCAAAGAAACTAATGAAAGGCCACTGACTCTTGGTGTCTTGATGTCTTGAGGACATCAAGAAGGTGTCTTGACCTTCTTGAAACACTGTATTTGCTTTATGCCCTTTCCCCTGCCTTAGGACCACTTGAGAACTGCCGAGTTTATAAAGTTACACAAGCATGTCTTTCCCTATTCCACTGTTATGCATCAGTAAATTCTTAACTCTTTATGGCTTATTAGTACATTTAAAAAGAAGAAGAGGAAAAAAAAAAGTCTGCTGCCAAAACCTGGCTCTGGAATCAGATGGGGGTGGGAGTGGGATTTGCAATCCACAGACAATAGAAAATTCTCATTGTCTGGCCAAAACGGGTTTGGCTCAGTGGATAGAGCATCGGCCTGTGGACTGAAAGGTCCCGGGTTCGATTCCGGTCAAGGGCATGTACCTTGGTTGCAGGCACATCCCCAATAAGGGGTGTGTAGGAGGCAGCTGATCGGTGATTCTCTCTCATCGATGTTTCTAACTCTCTATCCCTCTCTTTTACTCTCTGTAAAAAAGTCAATAAAATATATATTTTTTAAAAATTTCTCATTGTCTGAAATGTGAAGCTGATGGGACATTTGCTATCAGAGTCATAGCATGACAGTAAGGGCTTTCCAAAAGTGAGAATGCAGAGGTACATCATCACTATGAGGGTGAAAGATGAACAAAAATCCAGGCTAAGAAAATAAATGAAAAAAAAAAATAACTTCCTTGCTGCAAATTAACCCTTTCTTGTTTTTCACTACACATGTGACATTTTTCAAATATAGAGTCATCTATTAATTCAAACCCAGGCAGAAGAAAAGTGGGTCTAGAGGTCTGGGAGTGCCATTCTACCTCCCCCCACACCTGCAATGGTTAACAAACAATATTGGGCATTCTAATAAGTTGGTTTACTGGTATGCTATTTTTCTTAGAAACCTGGGACTTCCTTTTAAAATGCAAAGAAGACAACGATTGTTACGTTAAGAAATCCACATGGAACCGGTTACCTGCTTAAGGGGGAAGCATTTCCTTTGAGTCTATATCAGTTAATAAATTTGAGATACTTGGGGAGGTTGGGTGCATTGAACTTTTGACAAAGCCCAGAACTAAAAGAGTTAATGCATTATTTTACTTTGTTTCTTAATGAGAAAAAAAGTCTGCTGCCAAACTCAGCTCAGAATTCAGATGGGATGGGATGGAGGGTGATAATTTGCAGTCCACTGATAAAGCAAAATACAGATGATATTAGAAGAATTTCTCTCATGTGAGCATCCCTTTAACCAGAGTGAAGGTGCCTAGAGAAAATCGGTTGATTTGGTAGGTCTGCCTTTGCTGTCATTACCTGGATAGAGATCAGGCCCAGGCCCCGGGGAGCATCCCACTGGCCCATCTGTGGCAGCATCCTGTGGGGACGTGGCCGGCTGCAGGGGTTGCACGGTGAGGCAATCCGTGAGCAAGTCAGGATGGAGCTCTGCACTGGACCGCAGCTACAAAAAGGAGAAAACAGACATAGATGGAAAGGAAAGCTGTTCCTTGGAATACCTTGCTGGAATGGCATCATGCCCTAAGGTTCAATGCAATTCAATCCACAAATATTTATCAAGCAACAACTATCGGTTTAAGAGAGTCAATAAAAGAGTCGGTTTTCCAATCCTCATAACACCTGGCAAGTGCTTCAGGAAAGAAAAGAAAAAATGTGGCAAGAGGCAGATTTGACTTTAGTCCTGATATTTTGACTTCTGAGAACCCAACTTCCTATTATATTTCCTTGTATTTGCTCTGTATCTTATCAGAACTTGTAGCGATAACAAAACAAACTCAAGTATATTTAGTCCAGATTGGAAAGTGCTTTTAAAATACAGATATACCACAATGAAAATATCTTGGAGATAATTTAGAAAATTTGTCCATTGAGATCTGGTGCCTATAGCTATTACATGGCAGGAAAATACACAAGTTAAATTTTAAAATATTATGGAGCACGATTTAAAAAAAAAAAAGTCATTAACAGAAATAGAACCCCAACATAAGTTACATAACAAAAACATTTAGATAGTCATTTTATCACAATAACAAAATAAAGTCTTTATTAGAGTTACAAAAAAATCAAATAATAAAAATGTCAGAATAAAGTCTAGGTGCAAAGTTACCTGATCTCTCTATGAAAAAGAATTCTGTAAGTATAATTCAAATAGGAAAAAACCACAACATGAGATTGTTACCTAAAAATCTCTATATTCTGCTTATATAAAAACACAATACCTTAAAAATCTAGCAATGTATTTGTTACAGTTATTGCAAGTAGTTACCATCTCCAGTGTTTAAAGGAAATACTTACGTTAATATTTTCTTTAGTAAGACAAAAGTAAACCTTTAGACCCAGGGCTGGAGGACACTTATTCATCCAACAAATATTTATTGTCAGACACACCTCTAGACTCTAGGAATCCCATGTTAGGGAAAGTGACTCCAGAGTGGAATAATAGTGCAGAGAAGAAAGACAGTGAGGATGGAGGAGGGAGGGCAATTTTAGAAAGGAAATCAGGGAAAAGCTCCTGGACATGACACTTGCAAAAAGCTTTGAAAGAAGCGAGGGAGTAAGCCTTACAGACATAAAGGGAGGAAGAACCTGTCTGCCTTGTGGAGTGCCTGGATTATCTGAGAACAGTAAGGCTGGAGTGGTGTGTGCCTGGGGCCCAGAGAAGAGAAACAGAAGATGAACCAGAGATGTAGTGGGGAAAGGAAGTATGTTTAGTGTTCCTCTCACTCTCCCTCCCAGATTAGACAACCTGGAAAGGTCCTTCCAGATCAGTTTAAGCTCTTAAATCATCTCTGGTCTAGGAATTATCTACTGATGAAGGTGGGAGGCACACAGCAGAATCTCCTGGGTGGGGATTGCCTTACCACATAACCTTGGCATAAACATAAGACTTTAAGAAGGCAAAACAGAATGACAATAAACATTAAAAAATACAGCACACTTATAAAGAAATGCAATGTGAAATTTTTTTTTAACTTATCAAGTTAATAAAACCTTTTTTTAAAAAGTAGTGGTAGCTAAGGTACAGTGAGAGAGGCATTCTTTTCTTAAAAATTTGTTTTTTATTATTAAAAGTGTTTCAGATGTTCCTCTCCCCTCCTCATTAAACTCCTCCAACTTAAACAATGTAGAAGTGTACATTGGTACAAACTTTCTAGTGGTATCTCGCAATATTTTTTCAAGACCCATAACTTAAACCATTTGATCATAAAATTTGGCTTAAGGATATATTCAGAAGAAAGGTGAAGGAAGATTTATACCCAATATTTCAATGATATAGACCACATGTGTCAAACGCAAGGCCCGCGGGCCAAATCCATCCCACCAGGCCTTGCAATGTGGCCCGCACCGCGCTGTCATCACTGCACTCCGCTGCGTTTCCATCACAATGACAGTTTCTGACTGTTCAGTAAACCATTCGGCCCGCGATTTAGGCTGGATTTTAGATTTTGGCCCCTTCTCTGATTGAGTTCGACACCCCTAATATAGACTCTATATTATAGAGTATTATTTACAGCAATATCAAAAATCAGAAAATGTTACTTAAATGTCCACAATTAGGGCCAATAAATAAACTCATATAAATTTGATGGGGTATTATGCAACCACCAAAATAATGCTCATGATGATAAAAGCAAAACACAAAATTATATAGAAACAATGACATAAAAACACAGACAAAACCCTGTAAGAAAATATAATCCAATATTAAAACTGATTTTTGCTCCTACTGTCATTATCATGACTTTATTTCCCCTTTTGTTGTTGTGTGTGTGTGTTTGTGTGTGTGTGTGTGTATGGTGTGTGTGTGTGTGTTTTGAATACTTTCCTCTGCTTCCAAATTCTCTGCATTCCAATGACTTGTAGGAGGCTGGTTTTAAACCAATCCAAGAGTGTCAATAGGCTGTATTTTTCCCCAAACTTTCCATGCAATGATGTCAGATTGATAGTTTGAAATCAATTATGGTAAGAATATATACACCATGGACTCTGGCAAATGCTAGAAACTGAGGCATTTTTTTTTTTATATAGAGAGCTGGTTAAACACTTCCAGCATGCCTGCAACAATGACTCTTCTCCACACTCTGATCAGAAACACACACATTAGCAAGGTTACTACTTAGAGAGCAATATTTCTCAGATCTCAAAAAGCTTCTTAAAGAGACAAACATATGTCCAGGTCTTAGTCCAAGAATATGACCCTAAGTTTAGGGGAGAAGCATTTAACAATGGGGTGAATGAGACATAATTCGATTATCATTTCCTCAGCTTTGCCTCACTGGAATCTCTGACCAAGACTGTCTGAGCTTATGCCTAGCCCTCTCAGGGCCTTCGGAAAGCATGTTTGTTATTTTGGTACTAGCCTAACACATGCTGCGTAAGGAAAACTGGAAGAAAAAAATCAAGGCTAAGAATGAGTTCTGGTGATCGCTTTTAATTTATCTTCCTTTGTTAAAATGTGATCTGGGGCCCACATGGTCTGTTAAGCACAGACGTGATGTCTCTCTGCTTTCTATTACCAGCTCCTCTAGGGTTTTGCAGTTATCAGTATGGATGAGGTCTTTCCTAGGAATTTCATGGCCAGGGTTACTCCTGGAGTCAAAGGCAGGCACTGCTTCTTCAGCTTCAACAAGTATTCTTGTTCTCTGAGAGTGGGATTCCATCTGACTCTGGTGAGAGTTAATTTGGTTTTCTCTGGGATTAGGCATGGTTCTAGAAACTAGCTCTAAAATTGAACAAGCCTTGAGGACCTTGTGCAAAATTGCCAACGGAGAGTACTCTGCATAGTAATGCAGTAATGAAATGATATGTAAGTTTACCGTCCCTCTTGCCCTCCCTCCCAGATTAGACCAGCAAAGGGCCTTTCAGATCATTTCAGGCTCTTAAACATTCCAGGAATGCCTAATGGGTGAGGCAGGAGGCACACAGCAGAATCTTCTGGGAGGGATGTCTTTCAATAAAATATGGTTTCATCTTTGGAGTAAGAAACTCAACTATGGATATGAAACAAATTATAAAATGTGTATTTCAAACACATCTGCTTAGCTGCTAGGAATATTTAAAAAAGACAGAGGAAAATTTTTCAATGGGAGATGGTATCTCACTGCGGTTCTCAGACCTGGGCATGCACCTGCAGGTCCCCGGAGTTGCTGACTCAGTGGGCCTGGGATGGACTTCAAACAAGTTCTCAGGCCACAATGCTGCTGCTCATTTGGGGATCACACTTGCAGAAGCATCAGGCTCTAAGAATCCCAAGGACAGCTAAATTTTTTTTTTGGTTATGAAGAGAGAAAACAAATTATGAAAATAGGAACTTATAAAAACCAAACTGTCTTTAAAACATGAACTTTATGTAACCATTTCTTTTTATGTCTCTCTTCAGACCTCAAAATAATAAGTGGTTCCATGAGATTTGTGTCTTAAAATTAATGTGGATATTTTCTTTCACAGGGATAGGAAGGGTTAAAAAATTCAATCCAGTCTAATACCTGCTCTTAGGAGAGAGACTTGCTTTTTGTGGTACCTTTACTGCTCTTTGTGGAAAGAAGAGAAATTGGAGCCCACTGATTATGTAGTTTAAAGGGCTGCTGTGTTGGACAACACCAGGGACCTTTATTTGCATTGTAATCTATATGAATGGCACCCCTGGAATTCAAACTCGGCTGTCCTAACCATATCCCATTCATTCCAGAGTAGCACTGTCCTTCCTTATCTTTCTCATTCATTCATCGAACACATTTTTATTGGGCCTCAACCATATGCCTAGCATATGCCAGGCACCGTTCCAGAGGGTTCAAATATTATATATCAGTAATCAAAACAAAGTGTATGTTCTGAAGAATGGAGTCAACAGTAACAATTAACTAAACAAGTAAACTGTATAGAAGTTGGTAAGTGCCATGGGGGAAAAAAGAAAAAAGATAGAATTAGGTGGGATTGGAAATGTTGGGGAGAGTGGAGGCCTGACTGAGAAACTATATTCAAGCAAAGACTTGAAGAAGGTGAGAAAATTAATTAAGTACATTTGAAGGAGGAACTGAAAGGAGGCCTATGTGGCTGAAGTGGGGTGTGAAAAAGAGAAACACAGGAAATGAGGTCTGAAAGGTGAGGTGGGGAGTCCTAGAGGGCCCCACAGCCTTCAATTAGCACTTTGGCTTTAGTGTTAGTGAGCAGGGAACTCTTTCTTGGAAGGTCTCCACCATTTGCTTCCTGGGATACTCATCTCATCCCCCATTACTATCCACAGCCATAGAGGCGCTTAGCCTCCCCTTCTCTGAGATTCTGGGAGGTATGGGCACCCTGAGGTTAGTCCTGTGTCAACGTGGCTTGACTGCATTGCCCAATTATCCAATCAAACACTAAGTGTTGCTCTGAAGCAATTCTGTAGATGGAGATGACATCCAGAGCCAGTTGACTTTAAGTAAAGGAGATTATCTTCTATTAATA